AGCAAGAGCAGAAATCTGAGTTTTCTTTTCCATTTTATCTTTCACACCCACCACAGGGGTTTTTCATCATTTCCCCTTTTTTTCCATTTATTTTTATTAGTTGGAGGCTAATTACTTTACAATATTGTAGTGGTTTTTGCCATACATTGACATGAATCAGCCATGGATTTACATGTGTTCCCCATCCCGATCCCCCCTCCCACCTCCCTCCCCATCCCATCCCTCTGGGTCTTCCCAGTGCACCAGCCCTAAGCACTTGTCTCATGCATCCAACCTGGGCTGGTGATCTGTTTCACCTTTTCTTAGTGTTTTTCTTACTTGGTCCATTTGAGATTGATCTTGGGCAGTTGGGAGCCAGCAACTATGCTAGTTCAGTATCTTGGTAGAGACCAAACTGCAGCACTGTACCTTTATATATATGCCTCACCTGTAAAATCCTAGGATGGAATTGTTTGAACACCCCTTCCCACTTTAAACCTGTTTTGCCTCTTGTATTTTCTTCTTTTTTTTTTTTCTTTTTGGTGTGTGACACTGTGCTGTGCTATGCTAAGTCACTTCAGTCATGTCCAACTCTTTGTGATTCTGTGGGCTGTAGCCCACCAGCATCCTTTGTCCATGGGATTCTCTAGACAAGAATACTGGAGTGGTTTGCCATTCCCTTCTCCAGGGATCTTCCCCACCCAGGGATCAAACCCATGTCTCTTATGTCTCCTGCATTGCAGGCATATTCTTTATGACTAGCGCTACCTGCACCACCAACATCCAATCTCTTAAATCAGAGCAGTGTTTTTTCAAACCTGTGGGTGGGATAATAGAAAATATTAGGAATTTAACACAAAATAAGCGTAAGTGTTATTTTGTGAAACTTTCATTTCATTGGTATGTGTATACAAATATTCATATATATGTCTACTGGGCTGTGCTAGATAATGTTCTAATGTGGATTGTAGTCACAAAAATTGAAAAATACCAGACTAGAGAGCTAGGAATCATATTTGACTCATCCTTCTGCCTTATCTCCTACAGCCACTGAACTAAATCTGCTGATTCTACTTCCTCAGTTTCTCAAATGCATCCTATCTTCCTCTTCCCTGCTAACCACTGATCTAGTTCCAGTCCTTTCTGGATGACTGCAACCATCTCTCCAATCCTTTATGATTATACAGTGGAAGTGAGAAATAGATTTAAGGGACTAGATCTGATAGACAGAGTGCCTGATGAACTATGGACTGAGGTTTGTGACACTGTACAGGAGACAGGGATCAATATCATCCCTAAGAAAAAGAAATGCACAAAAGCAAAATGGCTGTCTGAGGAGGCCTTACAAATAGCTGTGAAAAGAAGAGAAGCAAAAAGCAAAGGAGAAAAGGAAATATATACCCATTTGAATGCAGAGTTCCAAAGAATAGCAAGGAGAGATAAGAAAGACTTCCTCAGCAATCAATGCAAAGAAATAGGGGAAAACAATAGAATGGGAAAGACTGGAGATCTCTTCAAGAAAATTAGAGATACCAAGGGCACATTTCATGCAAAGATGGGCTCAATAAATGACAGACATGGTATGGACCTAACAGAAGCAGAAGATATTAAGAAGAGGTGGCAAGAATACACAGAAGAACTGTACAAAAAAGATCTTCATGACCCAGATAATCATGATGGTGTGATCACTCACCTAGAGCCAGACATCCTGGAATGTGAAGTCAAGTGGGCCTTAG